GTCTTCTATGCAGTCTTGCAACACAGATGTAATAAATACATGCATGTATATATGTACATTTGTATGTCTAACGATTTATACAATGCTCCAATATATGTTTGTATATGTGTCTACTGCAGTGATTATAATGAATAGAAAGTCACATCACTGGGTGTGTAAATCAATCAACGAATTAATTTACATTTCAACTTAAATTACCGTATTAAAAGCGCCATTTCGTGTTAATATACATATAGACGTAAGAATGTATGTAAATGTATAATTTTTTCTCCTCCATAGGAAATAGTAATCTAACATTATAACTTACACTGTTCTCTGCACTTGGCAAGTAATAAAAACGAAGCCAAAAATTGCATTTAAACACATCAAAATGCAATTACTCAAACACAAACGTAATTATACATTTTTCAAAACACTAATTGGACTCACTCACCGCAGTTACGCTAACCTAAATGGATATTCAGCGAGGTAGAATATGTAATTGTATGTACTTAAGTATACATGTATGTAAGCACCTCCTTTACACTCCTACCATTTCATTCTCCGGTACAAATCACTCGGTACATATATCATTTGCATTGTTGCTGTTATTTAATATAATAAGTGGTTTCATGGAATCAAAAAAAAGAAATCTATCGGTTATTTCAGAAATCGTTGAAATAACTGCGAATGTTGTTAATGTAATAGAAGTAGTAATAATAATAGAAATAGCTGTAATAGCAGAAGTAGTATTAGTAGCAGTAGTGGTAGTAGAAGTAGTAGCAGTAGTATTAGTAGTAGTAGTAGTAGTAGTAGTAGTAGTAGTAGTAGTAGTAGTAGTAGTAGTAGTAGTAGTAGTAGTAGTAGTAGTAGTAGTAGTAGAGAGAGTAGTAGTTGTTACAGCATAAGTGGTAGTTTAAGATCACAAATAAGGTGGAAGTAATAGCAGATTGGTAGCAGTAGAAATAGTACAATATTACGATGGTATTAGAGTTCAAATACAATAGAAATGAAAGGAGTGAAAAGAGTAGTAAAATTATATTTCTTATATAATTGACGCTGCTGAAGCGATTCTTGGCCGAGCTCCTCCTCCAATTTGTGGTTTTACATCTTGGCGTGTTTCCAACAAATGGAGGGACCTACATTTTATACTAAGCCGCCACCGAACGGCTGAAGGCTTTTTAATGAGGAACCTTTATTTCATGTCAAAAATGCACTCGAAGTACTTGACATTCCCTGCCGAGGGGTGACTGCATTGAACATTTTTTCAAATTAATTTCTGTAATTTTTCGATGTTGGTTACACCAAACCCTCCGAATGGCAAAACGCAATGCTAACCACTTCGCTTAACTTGTGGTAAAAATAGTAGTAGAAATATATGAAGAAATTGTAGTGAAAATTGTAGTAGTAGAAGCATTAGATATAAAATTGGGTTTGGAATACATATAGGAGTGAAAGTTAAAGTGGTAGCAGGAATTGTAACAGAAATTGTAGTAACTTGTCATGCAAATTATTACGGAAATGGAAAATGGTCTGGGAAATTAGTTAAAATTAGGACAAAAAAGTTAGTAGAGCTAGTATGGAAAATAGTGAAAAAAATAGTAGTAGATGATATGAAGTGGGAATAGAAGTACAAATGGAGAAAATACAAATTTTGGGACGGAAGATTAAGAGTAGTAAAAATAGTAGTAAGAGTTAGGTACTAAAAGATACTAACATCATCGCTTTCGAGTAGTAAAAAGAAATTTTCAACACTAGTAGTAGAAAATGCAATCGAAGGACTGGTCGTATATTTATAGACATTGACGTAACTACTTTCCCCTCGCAAGTCCTACTTTTCACTTGCTTTGCATCAACGAGCTCAGATCATTAACACCACCAAAACCCAAACTCCCACATACTTAGCTTAACCACCGCCTGGCGCACTGCCGTGCCACCTCACTAATCTCCCTTTTTGCCAACTAGCGACAAGGGAACTTTTATGAATTCGACGGTCTGCAGCAGCTAATGACTTCCTCGCATGTCACAGGATATTTTCCCTTAGCAAATAGCGAAGGAATGATTGTTAGTACGAATTGGAGGCGCTGCCACTAGCACATTGCAACTTTACCTAATGTTTATATATATATATATATTATGTTCTATATATATATATATATATACGTATGTCTGTTTGTTGATATTACAGCTTGTTAGCGGACGAGGTCGTTTGTCGATTTGTGGGTGAGCATTTAAAATTAAACCACACACATGTGTGTGCGTGTGTGTATGTGTGTGTGTGTGCAGAAGAAGCAGGGGAAAGAGAACAGCAAATGGCATTTAAGAATTTTTATTGCGGCACATTGTAAATATGACGCGTCTAATTGAATGCCGTTTATACCGTTAGCCGCATCAAATATGTGTATATGAATATGTATTAGCTAAGAAGCATACTCGTATATATGTATGTACATGTATATTTGCTCATACCTACACCTCCTTTCAATCGCCAGCAAGTAGACCAGTTAATCGCTTGGGTGGCAATACTGACATATGAACAATTCAACGAATCGTTTGTTCAGCTGGTGTTATCTTTCTACAGGCATTCATTTGTGCAAGTAAAAGTGTGTACGAGTAGGTAAGTACATACGTACACATGTTGCTATCGCTCAACATATGATTAGTGGAAATTGTAGAAAGGTATATTATACCATCGGCAAGTGGACTCTGGCACACGCACACACACGTCAATGCATTGTAACAAACGGCGAGGCATTACGCTCCTGTTATGGAATATCTGTGGGAAATACCTAATTAAATTGTAATTACCCGTTTTATGTTGACTGCTCAGACAAATTGAAATTCGAAGTTGCCCAAGTTATTAACTTTTTGTGAATTTGATCGTTAATGGTTTTTGGAGAGTGACCAATTTGATTGGAGCTTCATTTTTAGTGAATATTTGTATGTTTATACATATGTGCGCATATACTGTACATATGTATAGATGCTTTCTTATCGTAACAACTAATTTCACCGATTAATTTAATCGATTTTAATACCGCTACATACGTATGTACAAATGTGTATGGCTTCTGTTCGATCGTGAAATTTGGCAACATTGTGAACGGTAATATTTGAAATGTCAGGGGGAAACACATTTACGTTTTGCAGGTCCACAAGAGAAATGAAATAAAACAAGCAATTTATTTTTCGCTTTAAATCGATTACTCCTTGAAAAATATTTTTGATGGTTTAATTAACTTTTTTGGAAAATCTGAAATAAAAACTTTTCTTTTGATCTCAAACTAGCGAATATGGTTTTCATCACTTCAGACCAAAGGGAAAGGAGGGTGAGATGAGTAGCTTTTAAGGGGCATGCAGGCCACACATTGGGTATTTCGGGGCCAAGTTTGGATAGGAAAGAATTTATTGCACTACAATATCCAGACCTTAATGGCGCCAGTATTACACGGGCACAAAAGTCGAAATGATTAAAGCAGTCAGGAAGTGTTAGAATCATATCCAATAATCGAATAAAACAAATTTTCTTATTCACTTACCGTAAAACCCAGCATACGTTGAAGATATCGCTCACACAGCGACTGGGAAGAGAAACACCTTCAATTTCTAATTTGTCTACTCCGAAGTGCGCTCCACATAGTGCAAAGATTTACCTCTGAATGTAAACTCTAGAGCTCCACCCAATAACTTCTCAATGTAAAAGAGGAATGGTTATGCCGCTTGTGCTTTCGGTGCAGCTCCTTCAGCGATGTAATCAAAGAAGTATTTTCAAAAAGAAAAAACTTATTTCGTGCAGAGCTTAGGGCTGGACAGTAAGAGCTGTTCAACACACTCTTCCCTTTCAGTATCCTGCAGCTTTAAATCATTCGGTGTATACCAATCTCTCACCTTGAAGCTTCAATACACAGGACGCTATTAATATAGCAGTTGTTATCCTGCAGAAAAACAGGTCTTCTGATCGTTTGTGTTTCAAAACAGACACCACCTCCATGGTGTAGTCCAACTCCTCCAAAAACTGGTTAATTCACTTTTAGTTGCAATTTCGTTAAAGTTCAGTGTACGATCTCTTTATTCATTTCCAGCGCATTTCTTCTACAAAAGCCCATGAAATTACTATGTCTGGGGTACATTTCTGAATGATGGGTATCCAATACTGATTTTAATTTTGGTGTATTCGACGATTTCCTTGATGTCTTTCATTAATTAGCTAATGTTTGAAGCGGAGTATTCTGTGTTCTTTCATTACCTGACGCTCTCAAAATCTTCTACATTTCCCTGTCATTTATATGTGTTTCCATTAATATACTCCCTTTGGTCTGATTGCTGAGCTCATGCATTAGCTCCAATCCAGTGCGTTAGGTTCATCTTTACACGAGTCCAAAAATTGTTTAAAGGGATCCATGAGCTGCTCTTACTGAGCTTGTACTGCAACCTTTAAAACTTATACTAATTGAAGCCACTGTTTTCTAACCTCAATGAACCGCTTTTGCGACGGTCGGCTGTTCGGTCAATTGGACTTCCGATCATCTTAGATGTTTTCCAATTCGGTTAATTTTCACAGTGTCATGTGGCTGGAACTTGGGAATTACAAAAGTACTAATACACATGGCTCCCAATTACTTTGAGCGTCTCTTTTGAGGAAGTTTTGGACTTTAATTGAAAAATATGGTTTATTGAAGCATTCGCGACGGTCTTAGCCATAGATCTCCAATGCGGTTGTGGTTGATATTCAGCCCCGCTCTAAAGAAGCTAATCAGTGTTTGTTGGGTGATCAAAAAGATTCTGGACACCTCTAAGTAGCACCAATGCATGTAAATTCGTGTCTAGATAAAAAGGTTACAAATTTTCGGTCTCCAGATTACTAATTACTCAAGATCTGCAGTCCATATCGCCTCGAACCTCGAAAGTCTGCACCAAATACACTACCTTCAGAGGTTTCTGAATCACATGCAAATTCTATTTCCTCTTATTATACTCTTATTAATCTACATTAAATGCCCAAACCGTCTTTCTTCCCACAGTTAATGATGACGCCACCGATCTGCGTTGCAACATGTCGCTGGCGCATTTGCGCAATATGGATAATCACATGGCTTCAATGCTGCAACAGTCAACACAACAACATAAACATGGCTCATACCATAATATGCAGTCGCCATCGCCCGGCCACCACCATCCCCATGGAGCCGCCATGCATTTAGGCACACCGCCGCCACCGCACTCCGCGTCACATCACCCGCACCAGCAAGCGGTCAACTATCACAATGCAATGATGTCGTTTCCCCATCAGAGTATAACCAACGCCAGCGGTGGCGCCAACAATCATTTGAACTACCCACCACTCGATGCCGCCGGCAGTGCCGATCAGTCGGGCAGCACACGTAACAGTCCGTCCATGAACAGCAGTGATTATCTCAATTCAATGCATCAAATGGTGGAGGCGAGTCATCTGCAAGCGGCGCTGCAACAACACCATCATCACCACCATCAGCATCAGCATTCGTCACACCCCCATCATCAGTCACCAACTGGCGGTCCACCTCCGCCGCCACTGCCGCCGCCGCACTACAGTCACCAACAACATTTGGCCGCATTGGCAGCACACGCCCAGGCACAGGCACAGGCGCAGGCACAACAGGAGCAAAAATTCGCCAAATCATCGTCGCCAACATTGGCTAATCAACCGAACGCCGCTTCGTATTTCAGTCTCGCTAACGGCTCCGGTGCACTTTGCGGTAGCGGCGGCAACGTCAGCGGCACTAATCACGCCAATCTTTTGGATTACGACGAACACTCGATGTCTTCATTGTCGGCAAGTGGCGAGATCGATGCAGGCGATGAGGATGACATGAAAGCGGGGCATGGCGACATGTCGGGCACAATTGATGTTACCTCGCCGCAATCACCCGCAACACACTCGCCACATTCGCCATCCTCAAATTACAACAATGCCGCAGCGTCTGGTAATGCAATGCATTTTGGCGGATTAAAACGTAAATCTTCCGTTTCCTACTGTGATGACTTGGATGCGGCTGGCGAGGCGAATGAGTCCAAATTAGCCAACGGAAATGCTTTAGAAAATTACACAATGAAAAGTTTTGAGGGCATACGTGCGCGTACTTTGGAAGAGGTCCAGCAACAGTCATTAAATGGCAATTGCAACAACATGGAACAACAACAGCAACATCAAGCGCAGCAGCAGCAGCAAATGCAACAACAGCAGCAATTCCAACAACGTCACATGGACGATTATCGCTTGGTTGGCGGCAGCGGGCCCGGCGGCGATGGTCAGGATCGTCTGAACGACGCCGACAGTGTGGTGAATGGCAGCTGTGCGTCGAGTGAGGACCTAAATCAGACCAACTCAAGTGAACAGGGCGAAAAGATAACTTCCGGCAGTGACGATGAAGGTGTGTATACAGATGTTCCAAAATCCTAAAGAATTTAAATATCTTATCACGCTGAAGCTTGCTTTACTTTACTCTTGAGCATTAGCTTTGTGAAAATTCCCTTAGAGTTTCACCTTTCGATTTATTCTTCAGCTCAAGATGACAACTGCTCGAAGAAAAAACATCGTCGCAATCGCACCACTTTCACCACGTATCAACTTCATGAACTGGAACGTGCTTTTGAGAAGTCTCACTATCCGGATGTCTATTCGCGCGAAGAGTTAGCGATGAAAGTGAATTTACCGGAGGTTAGAGTGCAGGTGAGTCTTTGGATTATTCTGTTGGCAAAAGCCGCTCACTACCCGTGTATGGAGTTTTCATAATAAGAGCACCGTATGTCTGAAAAGAACTAAAATAAGGCATCTCGAAGCCGGATTGTGGGTCTTTGTAGTATCCACACTTCTTTTAAACATGCCAACTTCTGCCCCGTGTAATATTATCTAACGTATCACCAACTCAATTGTCTTAGGTCTCTTATGAGCTTTGAAGTTATACAATTGGAAGCAAAATTGAAGTGAGACAATCAATAAAGTGTTTCCCAGGAAGTTATGTTGCATGGAGATTACAGCTGTGTTGGGAAAATTCTTTCTCTTTTTCGTAACTTCATCTGCGACAAAGGTCAATTCACTCTCCACAGTAATTAAAAAAAAATTCTCATTTTAAGCCCACAATCGATATGATGTTATTGATCTAATGGGAACTTGGTTTTTAGATTATATGGTAATCAGAGGGCTCCGTGATTCCAATAAATTCGTATTGAAAAACCTTCAATGAACTGACAGTCTCATTTCGATTTTGATTTAAAATTTCGGTGAGTCGATTTCAGAATAAAGATTAGCACGTCTTCCAGAAGATTCAAATTGTCTCATTCATTTTTGTCTGCTTCGGTCTTATTATGAAAACATATTTCCGAAGCTGAGTTGAAGGCAGTGTAGGTCAGCTTGTCAGGAATTTGTGTGAAAGATAATACGAGTATTCGGGCATATTCTGTACTGTGATTATACCTAAACTGAGTTACGTTCAGTCTATTAGCTTTGCATTTCGTTGAAGGCTTTCCCTACAGATCTGAGGTAAAAAAATTGAGAAAAGTTGCCTGAGTTTACATGTAAACTGATGGTAGAACTTCTGTTTTAACATCTGCAGATTCATAAGCTCTATCTGTTTTGCTACTGAAAGAGTTCCCTCCCTCCTGATGCTGCCCATCAGGCGGTATAGCCATAGATTAGGATCAGTCTAATTAGCGCAGAGAACCATTTTCGGTGAGTACTCTCTTGACATTGGCTAAGTAAGTGTAGCTATAACTTTTCTCGACTTTACTGTGTTGTCTCGGCACTGGTTGAGTATGCAACAACTCTGACAACACTCTCATGTATAGCTTTGGCCAACCTCACTTTTACAAAATTCGACTCCAAAGCAAGCATAACGACATCCTAACGGCTTTCCTGCTTATTCTTGCCCATTTTTTTCATGAAATTTCGTGAGATACTTGAAGAAAATTCGTTTGCCTAGCATAGTGTGAGAACACACCTAAAGTCACCAGATAAGCGGGCATTCTGAACAGAAAGGAAAGATGGAAAATTACACCGGCATCATCTCTTATTGACTTAAATTGAACTGTTATGATTAATTTAATCTCTTTGCCTATTTTTTCATTGAGTATTAAACGATTTTAGGTGAGTGCAATCCATCTTTACGGATTTTCTATACCTTGGGTGAGCTCAAATAGCGACTTAACATATTTGACCGCTTTGAAAACCACCTACTTTTTGCCATTTCTTCAACGCTGGTGTAAGATCCTGTCGCTTTATTTGAAACCAAACCTTAAATGTCATCATAACCTCCCAGATCTTTTAAAAAGTAGTCCTAATATAGAGTGGCATAACAAAGTTCAAGGCGTTTTAAACTCGAAGTATTTGACAAAAGGATTCAATTTATTTCGGTTGTGAACCTTTTCCTTTATTCCATTGGATTCTCATTCATAGAGATTAAGCCACTACTCTACACAACGCACCGTCAGAGTTTGATGTTAGGTATTGTAGGCCAAAAAAAAGCTTATTTTTTCTATTTTTTTAAGATACTAAATAAATCTTACAATTTATTTTGTTAACATATAAAAGTACAATACGTGGACAACATTTGATGAAAATTAGAAACAAAAATAGTATAAGTGAAGTGTCTCGAAGTAAATCGTCCACAAGGAAATGCTTTCGCGGTAATCATGATAACTTTTTCAATTTTTATCTGATATCACAAATCAAAATTTCTTCTTAAAGAAGATGAATTTTCCACGTCTTAGAACGAAGAAAAATTAAATGAACTACAAATTGAATTTTTTTGTAGCGTTTTTTTACAAAAAACATTTTTTGCATCAAATAAGGCCACATATTGGCTTGTAAAATGAGTTGAAATCAAAGATAAATTAAAAACTTCGTTCAGGGACTACAAAAACCTGCTTTAAAGACGTGTGGAAATTTTGAACTCGATCGCTTCAATAGTCGTTAAAAAGTTTTGACTACCGATTTCGATAAAGTGGTTTTGAGAAAACGCGGCGGGTTATAAAACTCTCTAATTTCTACAGTTCCGTGTCGATTGACTTGAACCTTGGGGAAAATATTCCTAACACTTTGTTCACACACGGAGTTCAATGTTGCCTAAATAATGGATCCAAAGGCAAAGTGATAATGGCCATAGGACATTATCCGACAATTTTTAAAAACATGTTATTGTGCCTTCTATCATGATGAACGGGCAAAAGCAAAGGCGAACCAGTTATTAGTGCTCAGAAATAGAGGTCTAGTACATATAAGAACTTTCCTAGAAATAAAATAAACCAGAAATAATAAAAACTAATATATAAAAAACGATAAAATGAAGTACAACAACAAAAATTAATAAAATTTAATACAAAAAAATAATATAAATTAAATAATTAAAATGAAATAAAAAACTATAACCTTAAATCAAAACAAGAATATTATGAAATGAACTAAAATAAAATGAAATAACTAAAACACATATTAAAATAATTAAAGTTAATTAAAAAAAAAAAAAAATAGAATAAAAAATATGATTTAATAAAAAATAATATGAAATAAAATAAAATAAGAAACAAAATAAAATAAAAAAAAAAACAAAATAAAATAAAATAAAAAACAAAATAAAATAAACAAAAATACAAAAAAAAGAGCGATAGATTAAATTTAAAAAAAAAAAACATAAAATAAAATACATAATTCAAAATTAAAATAACTAAAACGAATGAAAAAGAAATTAATGTAAATTATTATGAAGTAAAATAAAAATAAGGTAGGATCACAAAGAGTTTTTTTACAACCACACGAATTTGCCAAATGCAAGAACTATAAACACAAATTGTTTGTTTCCACTTAGAAATGCACTATATACGAGTATTTCTATAGGTACCGAGTAAACCGCTATGATGTGGTGGTCAGTTATTAGACTAATTTATTTTCAGCAACTCACTTCCTTAAATACTGATTCCTATTTTGAAGTTCCTATTCTATGTACAAACATATTAACATTCCACAGAGGTTGCTGATCCTAACGCTAATTGTAATTGTAATATGATACGTAATATATAAAAAGAAACTATCCAAAGATGGGAGCGCAGCATCCCAATTGCATGCTATAAGCGAATATGATAAGCAAGTGAATATGATAATAAACATATGAATGCTAGCTTATAGGTCTACAAACATACATACATATAATTATGTGATAAACAAATAGTGTTAAAGAGAAACTAAAATTAAAGGATATGATTAGCTCGGGCCTAAGTATATACATATGTATATCAAAGTTTTTGTTAGCAATTACATGGTCTGCAAGTATGAAATAAAGTAAAAACAAAATATAATAAATAAAATATGATAACTAAAATTAAACTAAACTAAACAAAACGAAGTTCAACAAAAATGAATAAAATGAGTCAATATAAATATTAAAATTTAATGAAATAACATAAAAATAATATAATATGAAATAAATAAATAAAATATAGAATATAAGAAAAGATTAAATTAAAAAAATAAAACAAAGCTGAAATTAAAAAAATTAAATTAATATAAAACAAATTAACACAATGCATAATAAAATTAAATTATATAAATTATAATGAAATGTAGAAGAAAATAAAAAAGCATATATTAATTAAAAAAAAATTAATAAATAAATCAGTAAGTTCATTGTATCCACCTAAAGAAATATTATTATTACTAATAACTGATGTGTAGTAAGGAAGAAATATATAAGGCCTTATTGCAAGACGGTAGGAATGTAGAGAAAAACAAAATGAATAAAAATTAAATAAAATAACGTAAGCCAATAAAAAAGAAAATAAAATGATTGAAAGATATTGCAATAATAAGAGCTTAAATTAAAGTAATATAGAAAAATAGAATCAAAAATTAAACTAAAAAAATGTTACGAGAAATTTAAAGCTTTTATTGATTATCTCCACGTACTGATTCTTTAATTGAGCTGGATTTTGGTTTCCAATAATTTTTATTGAAACAAGTTTTGGTTGCTACAAGGAAGGACAAGCTGCTTACAACGTACAAAACCAGCATTTTGCTGGCATCTAACGATGGAAAAATTCCCCTTAAAATGAGGGTACTTGATTTTTCAAATGTATTTGGTAAGAACTTATCCAATGTTTTCCAAATTCAGCCCGAAAGCAAAACTCAGCCGAGCAATTCATATTCACATCATAGGAAATTAGTTAATTTCCGATTGTAATTCATTTTAACAAAATACATTTAACCGGGCTATAGGAAAATTAAACAGACACAGACACATATAGTATGTATGTTCTATGTACGTACGAGTGTGCATGCAGAGGCAATGGTTATCCAATTAAGTTTTTTTGACATTGATTTATGCGAGTTAAAAGCTTTGTAAAAGTTTGCGGTTAAGAGAGACAAGTCCTGCCGAAATTAAATGCAATGCTTGGATGAACTTAAGTATGTATAAACACCGTATTCTCTCAAAATCAAAATTGCAATTTCCTGCCGAGCATATATCTACACGTATGTATATAACATTAAAATATTCATATAAGCAAATAAAATGAAAAGCCAATGCAAACAAAGTGTAATGCAATTCTTATTTGAAATTTATGTCTCAATTCCTCAAGACAGCAAGCCAATTGGTTAAGACACGTATGCCTGTGCATGCATACACGTATGTTTGTACTCATAAACAACCTCAGCGCCTGCAGAAAGAGACCCACAAATTAAGA